AATAGATGTTGTGCACCTGCTCTACCTGTAATCCCCAGTGCAGTTGAATAGCCTGCTCAGTGATCATTTTACTCCTGTAGAATACCCACTAGGGACACAAACCAATCTGGCACTGTTTATTACTCTCCCTGAGAGTGAGAGTGATAACCAGAGAGAAAGAAGAATGTTTTCTGCTTTGAAGAACTTGCAGCATAGTTCTGGACACCCATCATTTTCAGTTCTGACAGAAAACATACCAAACTTGTGAAAAATATATTGGCAAGATGCACTGGTAATATTATTTTACCTCACTCTGGTTCAAACCACTGCACATTATGTATTTGTTCATTCACTTGATGTGAGCATCCAGACCAGTATTTGTTGCCCATTCCTGATTGACCTTGAGAAGATGGGTGTGATGAACCACCTCCTTGAATAGTTTGAACTCCAAATGGGATGCCCATAGAGCTGTAAGGAGAGGGAGTTCCAGGATTTTGACCCAGCAACAGTGCAGGAATTACGATATTGTTCTAAGTCAGGTTGGTGGGTGGCTTGGCGGGGAAGTTGTAAATGGGTGGTGTTCCTTTGCATCTACTGCCCTTGCCCTTCTAGGTGGCAGAGGTCATGGGGTTTGGAAGATGCCATACATTTTTTAAGAAAGACACTGTCCAACCATGATTCCAATATCTGTGGAGTGTGCATTACTTCCAAATGCAATCAACTGGGTTTGGTCTTTGTTGATAGATTAGCAACATCAAAGAACCACGTGCGGTTTTGGAGGCGATTGCACGAAACACCACTGGAAGCCTTTCGGCCACTGATGTCCTTTTATATGTTGAAGTCCTCTCACAATCAATCCCAACGCTGACTTCAATCAACGAGACGATACCTGACAGAAGGGAGATCACCAACGTCACGATGAAAGTAGGTTGTTTAGAATGCATGGTACTTCTTGTTTCATCACGCGGCAAGCGTTTGAAATCTTTTACACCCTGTTTTGAAAGTCAAACTAATTCCCGTCCTTCCTGTGCACACCAACTCCAGGCATTGGTTAAGACAGTGAACAATCTCTTACAACCAGATGAAATGGCGGTGTGGAACGAAATTGGAGACGATGAGAGGAGAAAGAGTGCCACAAAGCTGCTACACACCATGGAAACATCAGCCCTTGGCATCTCACACCACTTGAAAAGGACAACAGAGCTTGTGTTTAAGGAGAGTGATGTTGGTAAGTTGGGCAGGCAAGTGGAGTTGAGGTCAAGATGAGATCAGCCATGACTGTGCTAAATGATGCAGCACATTTGAAGGGCCAAAAGGCCTGCTGCTGCTCCTAGTTCTTACATCCCTATGAGAGTAAAGCAATGCTGGGGTATAATATTTGCATTGAGTGTCTCCCCATGGGATCGTAAAGAGTGTAGGTAAATTTGTGGTGCTGTTTTCTAAACATTTGCTCCTCATGTAGTAATCAAAGACTGCTTCAACCCTGCCACTGCATCTATTTTTTGAGTCAATATTTTTCATGTTGTCAGTTCCCAGTATCTCATTCAAATTCCAGTCAGCTTTGATCTACAGCGATGTTTTGTAGGAAGGAAGAAAGGCTTATACTTTTTACATCACAGGCTGCCCGAAATGTGAACGAATGACTTTGTTCAAGAGATATTGTAGAAAGAACAGCAGCCAATATGCAAACAGAAGTACAGCAGGGAAATTTCCACTGCTAAAAAAAACCCGAAAGAACTGGCAGATGCTGTAAAATCAGGAACAAAAACAGAAGTTGCTGGGAAAGCTCAGCAGGTCTGGCAGCATCTGTGAAGAAAAAAAATCAGAGTTAATGTTTCGGGTCCGGTGACCCTTCCTCAGAACTTCCTCTGTTCTGAGGAAGGGTCACCAGACCCAAAACGTTAACTCTGTTTTTTCCTTCAGAGATGCTGCCAGACCTGCTGAGCTTTTCCAGCAACTTTGTTTTTGTGCCTCATCTTGTCATCTGAAAGACGGTGCTGCCAAAGTGCCTCACTGCTGCACTGAAACAAAGTATCGGAAACTTTTGCTACACCACATGTTTAAGGAACTATTCCCTCGGATATAGAATTAGGAGTAGGCCATTCAGCCCATTGTGCAATGTCAGCAGCCATTTCTTCAGCTGCCAGTGTCCCAAGCTCTGGAAATCCATCCCTACTTTGCTCTATTCTCTCCCTTTCTCATTTAACTCGCTCTTTCAAACACACCTCTTTGACCACACGTTTGGTCATCTATCCTAATACCTCCTTATGTGGCTCAGTGTAAATTGTTGTGTGATAATAAATTCTGTAAAGTGCCTTGGGACATTTTGCAATTTAAAACAGGTTAAATAAGAGTACTTGCGCGGGAAATTACTAGAGGATCATGCAAGGTTTACATTGAGACAAATGGAAATCCTGTTCTGTAAGTAGAAGCTTACTTGCAATAAAAAGGCAAATTTTATGCTAATAATTTGAATCAATTACAAAGAAAAATGGTTCATGTCATTTCCAAGCAGTGCAGGCTTCCAGCAAGCAAACTGAATGAGAGGTTAGTTTAAGGAGAAAGTACAGTTGGCGGAAATCTGAAACCAACACAAACAGTGAAGAAAATGCAAAACACGACAGTTTTCTCAGACAATGAGTGAGATTACTGCCCACGCCATTATTAACGAATAAAACTAATGGCGAGGAAGGAATAGACTATGATTTGTGTGGCTCCTTCATGAAGACTTGCAAAAAAGCTGGAGCTCTCCATTACCCTCGCCATGAACAAGAAGCACCTTGTGTTGTTGCAGTGGAATAAACTTTCCACAGAATGTTTAATGCTGGCACTTAATAGCACAAGGAATCTTTTAATAATGAGACTTGTGTTTTCACAATGCCATGTAATATCATGCTCAGGAAAGTAAACAATTGATCAGTCTCCTTGCTCCAGGCAAGAAATTGTACCAAGAGGTTTCCAAATTTAAAATTTTATAAATTTTAATGCTTCTTTATTCTTCCTGTCCCTTTTCACTCCTTATTTTTCCCTTCACTCTTTATTTTATTTTGTATAATAAATTTGGCATTAATTCTCCTTCCTTCCTCTGTGGCCTGTCCTCTCTTTCTCTCCCGTACCCCTAAAACTCATTGCTAACAGCATAGCCTATTCATCCAAAATCCCAGCTGTCCCATTCCCATCACTGAGATCATTATGAGCTTTCAATTCTCTCAAAAGATTTTGAGCTAGACTGTGATGAAATGAATCTAATGAGTGAAGCGTACCCATAAACCCCAGGCTAATGCTTCGTGAGCTATCATCATATTCCTCATGTGCACTCTGTTCAAAGCTTATTGTAGCCCCTTTGGAGACTCATTCTCTCTCAATGCACCAGTTTTTTCTTTCCATTTGCCAATTACCTTCTTCAATTTTCAAATGGTGTAGCAAAGATATTCTCTTCCTTCATCTTATTTTCTTTGAAGCCTTATCCCCATCACATCCCTTGCTTATCCACTTCCTCATAATGTGTGCCTAGGCAGCGTCTCGTTCAGTTCACAACTTCATTCAACAAATTTGGCATGAGGGTTCAATGGTTAGCACCGCTGCCTCACAGCATCAGGAACCTGAGTTCAATTCCACTCGGGTGACTGTCTGCATGGAGCTTGTACATTCTCCCTGTGTCTGCGTGGGTTTCCTCCGGGTGCTCCAGTTTGCTCCCACAGTCCATAGATGTGCAGGTTAGGTGGATTGGCCATGCTAAATTACCCATAGTGTCCAGGGATGTGCAGGCTGGATGGATTTGCCATGGGAAATGTAGGATTTCAGGGATGGGGTGGGTCTGGGTGGAATGCTCTTGGGAAGGTTGGTGTGGACTGGATGGGTTGAATGGCCTGCTTCCACACTGTGGGGATTCTGTGATCGGATTTGTTTGTATTCTCAGCATTTTGCCATCTGTTAGTTTTTTTGTCCAATTGATCTTTTCCATTCTTCAAACCCACGTTTTGAAGATACTTAGCAAGTTGGTCTCTCTCTCTCGTTCGATCAGGCCCAAGTCTCACATCCATACATAACACTACCCCAAATCGAGCTCTTTCTAGCTTGGACCTGAATAGTTAGAGGCAGGTGGCTGTTTGACATAAAACTTCTACAAAGATAACTGTATCAGAGGTGTGCAAAAAGCACAGGCAAACTGGAATGGAGCACATTCGAAAAGTCGATCCTGGATGTGATAAGGTATGGATGATGATTCCAAAAAGCAAGCAGGAGTGGAAAACGGCAGGTAGATGTGGCCAATGCTATTATGTTCACTGTCTCAACAATGTGTTGAAGTGTTAGCAACCGAAGCAAGCTGACAGTCATGTGACTAGGAAATGCAAACCTTCCATAACTATCAACAGTAATAGCAGCTTGAAAATATCTCTGTGGGAACTCAGCGTTGTGTTCCCAATTCTGTCTATGAATTTTTTATGGACCTTGTTGCATTTTACTGACAGGTGTACAGCCTACGTTTATATTTAGAAGTGTCTGAGCAGATAGGGCCAGCAATTCATGGGTTATTAATGGCACATTTTTAATGCTCCCACAGCCCTTAAACTATACGCTTTTGATTTAAGCCGTGATAAGCAGCCCCATCCGCATGCAAATCTGAATGGGAATCACATAAGTATCTCACAACAGAAGACTGAAATGGCCAGCTCTAACGGTAGGTAATAAGTGACTGATGTACACTTCACAATCGGGTCGTGGGGAGTATTTCCGAACAAAGGCACCTTGAGGTACAGGTTCATAGTTTGTTGAAAGTGGAGTCGCAGGTAGACAGGATAGTGAAGGAGGCATTTGGTACACTGGTTTTTATTGGTCAGTGCATTGATATAGGAGTTGGGAGGTCATGTTGCAGCTGACCAGGACATTGGTTAGTCCCCTTTTGGAATACTGCGTTGAATTCTGGTCTCCCTGCTATCGGAAGGATGTTGTGAAAGGGTTCAGAAATGATCTATGAGGATGTTTGAGAGTTTGCGCTATAGGGACAGGCTGAACAGGCTGGGGATATTTTCCCTGGCACATCAGAGACTGAGGGGGTGACCTTATAGAAGTTTCTAATGAGGGGCACGGATAGGGTGAATAGCATAGGTCTAGTTCCCAGTGTAGGGGAGTTCAAAACTAGAGGGCATAGGTTTAAGGAGAGAGGGGAAACATATAAAAGTGACCTAAGGGGCAACGTTTTCACGTAGAAGATGGTGCGTGTATGGAATGAACTGCCAGAGGAAGTGGTGCAGGCTGGTACAATTACAGGTATTTTTGCTGTAACGCGTATTTCGTTAACTCAAATGCGCAGTAATGTGATGGATGAATAGTGGACACTACTTGTATAACGCAAACTTTCTGCTGTACACATATAGCAATTTTCTAAAACGACTTTCCTCTAACGCAATTTTATATGGCGGTTTTCTATTGCGCGAGGGCACACAAGATCGCAACTATTACGTTATAGAAGAGATACCTATACAACATTTAAAAGACGTCTGGGTGGGTATATAAATAGGAAGAGTTTAGAAGCATATAGGCCAAATGCTGGCAAATGTAATTAGATTAATTTAGGATATCTGGTCAGCATGGATGAGTTGGAACAAAGGGTCTGTTATGCTGTACATCTCTATGGGTCCAAGATTCGGAAGGATCAGTTAATAGTGGGGCTTCCTTGTCCTGCTTGTCAGTAATTTTTTTCTCTTTGTATCCCACTAGGGACCCTCACCATCATTTTCCTGCAGTACAGCAGTATTGGCTCCCTCCTCAGACTGTCCAACAGCTCGCATGACAGAGACCACAATGGGACTACGATGCAGCTGGACTATGTTGTGAACTCACCGATTGTTGCTGCGGCGATCAAATCAAACCCTCCATCTCTGTACCTCATGGATTACGTAGCATTCACTCTGAAACATCTCGAGGTCAGTGCCTGCATGTGGAGTGGCAGCAAAGGGCACCTTTGTTGCAGTAGAAAACTGGAGGTCCTTCTATGCAAAGAGAGAACTAGAAGTTCATTTGCTTTCAAGAAGCTAGGGGGAGCTCATCACAGTCATTCGTTAAGCTGAGGGTGTCCCTGGAGATTTGAATGGCAGATGTCTGTGGGCAGCTTGGAGGGTGCTTGATACCCTGCCCCCTGAAGAGTGAGTAGGACACGCCTTCTCTTCCCACTCCCCTTTTCCCTCCCTCCAAACCCTGCCACCAAAACCCAAAATCTTCGAAATGTTTGGCAGAGCGTTAAGTGGTTAAAGGCAAGACTTTCGCCCCCCTGTTTGGGAAGGTGGTGGCCTACTGATATTATCGCTGGATTGTTAATCCAGAGACCCAGATAACATTCCAAGGACCTGGGTTCGAATCCCACTATGGCAGATGGTGGAATTTGAATTCAAAAAAATACCTGGAATTAAGAACCTAATGATGACTGTGAATCCATTGTCAATTGTTGGGAAAACCCACCTGATTCACTAATGTCCTTCAGAGAAGGAAACTGCCATCCTCACCTGGTCTGGCCTACATGTGACTCCAAACCCACAGCAATGTAGTTGACTCTTAACTGCTGTCTGAGCAATTAGAGATGGGCAATAAATGCTCCCTAGCCAGTGACACCCTCATCCTGTTAATGAATAAAGGAAAAAAATAGCATGAGGCAATTAGCTGTATAATTTTGAGAAGTGGTGGAGGGGTGTATGCCCTTGATGAGGGTGGGGGTGGGTTCACAGGGTACACTCCCTGCCTTATTTGATACCAGTTCGCACAGTTGATGTTTCTGAGTTAATTATTTGGTGTGAGTATACTAGTGATGGAGGTGGAATTAGGCACTTAAATCATAGAATCCTGACAGTGTGGAAGCAGGCCATTAGGCCTATTGAGTTCACATATGCCCTCCAAAGAGCATCCCACCAAAAACCACCCACTCTCTCTCCGTATCTCCCATGGAAAATCCACCCAGCTTGCACATCTTTGGACTGTGGGAGGAAACCAGAGCACCTGGAGGAAACCCACGCAGACACAGGGAGAAAAACACTGCTGCCTCACAGCGCCAGGAACCCAGGTTCAATTCCACCCTCGGGTGACTGTCTGTGTGGAGTTTGCACATTCTATCTGTGTCTGTGTGGGTTTCCTCCAGATGCTCTGGTTTCCTCCCACAGTCCAAAGATGTGCAGGCTAGGTGGATTGGCCATGCTAAATTGTCCATAGTGTTCAGGAATGTGTGGGTTATAGGGGGATGGGTCTGGGTGGGATGCTCTGAGGGTTGGTATGATCCTTTTGAGCTGAATGGCCTGTGGGATTCTATGATTCTAACTTGCAAACGCCACACAGGCAGTGACCCAAGGCTGGAATCAAACCCAGGTCCCCAACACTATGAGGCAGCAATGCTAACAACTGAGCCACTGTGCCACCCCCATAGCATTAATCAGGCACTTAGAGACTGATTAGTCCCAGCGGTGAACAGACTGCCAAACACTCTAATCCCGGTAAAATGAAAAATGTAAAACAGGTTGGGAGGGGGGTGGTTAGGTAGTGTGTAGGACACACACATCACTTTACAAACTGCCCACCTTCAAAGCCTTTTTTGGCTGGGTCCGGTAAAATCCTGCCCTATGAGTGAGATCTGGTTCACAGTTTCCTCTACAACTAAGAAAATAATGATGCTTTGAAAATAAAACCAGGCAACATTTTCTTTTTATTATGCACAGTGGATGTAATGGATTTGGTTCATAATCACACATGAAAGGAGACTGCAGATTTGGATCATAGTCCAAGCCAATCCTAACTGAGGTGGAAGGGGAACTTTAGTAGCTGTAGGCTATGTAAAGGGAAGAACAAACCAGTCTTGTCTGCTATCAGTGATCAAAGCCCATTCCCCCTCGATTTAATATCCCCATTAATCTTTGCATTCTGTTATTCGAATAACTAAAATTTGGCAGAATATTGAATAAATACAAAGTGGATAAATAATTTAACTAATAAATATTTAATACTTAAAACAAGAAAAGTTGGTTGATAGATGTTGTACCTCACTATGTTTTAACGGGAAACATCTAATTACTGGAAGTAATTTATTTGTTAAATGACCTTCATATAATGTTGCATTTAAACAGATTGCAATTTTCACATCGATGATTAACAGCTTTGCCCTTTTTACGTCTCATTCTCTTGCTTTTCGCTTGACGTGGATAATATGTCCAGGAATGTGTTATTTGTTGGCACGCATCCTTTGTATTGAACATAAAGTCTGTCCTTTTTCATTCTACTTGCTTTTCAGCCTCTAGAAAAGCGGAAAGCTCTGTGTGTGTTTTGGAATTACTCTGCTCCCAGCATGGAGGGTGAGTGGGCCACTGAAGGTTGCAAGACCCTGCACTTCAATGCCACGCACACCACGTGCAGATGTAACCACCTGACCAACTTTGCGGTTCTGATGTCTTCCTTCCGGATCAGTGTAAGTGCCAAAGATGTACGGAGGGAGTCAGCAGCAAGAAAATCGGTTCAAGTATCACCAGCAACAGTCAGAAAGATGCAAAATGGAGATAAGAAAGAAAGATTTTGCATTAATCTTGCACAACCTTGGGATGGTCTGAAGTGATTGACAGCCAATGAAGCATTCTTTTGTAGCATTGTCACCATCGTAATGTCTGATTCACGATGTATGCGTAGTAAATGGGGGAGGTGATGGCGTAGTGGTATTATTGCTGGACTGTTAATCCAGAGACCTAGATAATGTTCTGGGGACCAAGGTTTGAATCCTACCATGACAGATGGTAGAATTTGAATTCAATAAATATGTGAAATTAAGAATCTCATGATGACCATGAATTCATTGTCGATTGTTGGGAAAAACCCATCTGGTTCACTAATGCCCTTTAGGGAAGGAAACTGCCATCCTTATGTGACTCCAGACCCACAGCAATGTGGTTGATGCTTAACTGCCGTCTGGGCAATTAGGGATGGGCAACAAATGCTGGCCCAGCCAGCGACACCCTCATCCCTTGAATAAAGGAAATGCCCTCAGACAGAAACATGATCACTTTCCCAACATCTGAACAATGTGTGTACTGCCAAGAAAGTGCAGAAAACATGGCGAGAATGGGAAAATGTGATTCTCGACATTGAGAGAAAAGAAGTCCAGTTTTCTCCTTATGGTTTCAAATGGTTAGGTCAGCATCTCACTTCTCAGTAGTGAAGACCCAATTACTGTAGATTTATGTTTCATTATTTGCTAATCTCACCTCATGCTGTGCAGAATGCTATTTTTCCACGTAATGATGAGAAGCTAGAGGGTGCCAATTTCCAACATGAAAGTGAGAGTGGTGTCCTCTCATGGCTGTAGCTTAGAGCTTTTTTCCCTGGGTTTCCATGTTGGTGTTCCCTATACTGAGGTGTCCATGGGCACAACTGCCTACACCCTCTGTCTATGGAGGGCGGCAGTGGTAGGTCCGAACCTCAGCTTGACACATGTCAAATTATCTCATGATATCTTCCAAAAGCACTTCCATCTAGAAGGACAGGGGCAGTAGATACAAGGGAATACTGCCACCTGCAATCTCCCTCCCAAATCCCTCACCATCCTGACTTGGAAATATATCGCTGTTCCTTCACTGGCGCTGGGTCAAAATGCTGGAATTCCCTCCCTAAGGGCATTGTGGGGTTACCTACACAAAGCAGTTTGCAACGGCTCAAGATGGCAGCTGACCACCACTTTCTCCAGGGCAACTCGAAATGGGCAATGAATGCTGGCCCAGCCAGAAATGCCCACATCTTATGAGTGAATAGAAACAATACAGTTCAGCACTTCGTTGCTGCATTTTGGAGCTCATTGATACCTTACACAGCAGCACAGGTCTTCACTTGCAGGAATGTATATCCATCTCATCCATCCAAACAGGATGCATTTCCAGGTTTTAAGTTTGCTTTCTTAGCGGTCACTCACTTTGCATTTACATGAATGCTCATGGCTTCTCTACTGTCTGTTTTCAAGTGTTGTCACTTCGGTCAGAGATTTGTCAGACAGTAGCTCCATCTTGCCTTCCCATTTAGCATAGACAGAAAGCCAGACAGCTTGTCCTGACTGCTGGCACGAAATGCTCAAGGGGTAGACATCTCAGTGTAACAGCACTGTGCTGCATCAACCTCACACCCAATGGCATGTGCTAGCAGCTTATGCAAGAAGTGCACAGCATGTGCTTCAAGCCAACAGGTCACATGTGAAAGCACATGCCCTGATGCAGCCTTTGGAATATATCTGGGAACAGTCAAAGGTGACAGTTATAAATGTTGCTATGACTGCTTCTATGTCCAACACAGTACCTTGTTTCTACTTTCTCCCCATGCCCTTTGATCACTTTAGGTCTAAGATCAACACTGAACTCCTTCATAGAATCCCTACAGTGTGGAAGCAGGCCATTTGGCCCAACTATCCAGACAGCATCCCACCCAGACTCACCCCACCTACCCTATCCCTGTATGTCCCATGGCCAATCCACCAGACCTGCACACTCTTTGGACTGTGGGAGGAAACCCATGCAGACACAGGGACAATGTGCAAACTCCACACAGACAGTCAGTTGCCCGAGGCTGGAATCAACCCAGGTCCCTGGCACTGTGAGGCAGCAGCGCTAACCACTGTGCCCCCCTGTCCTTCTTGAAACCTTTCAATGTTTCGGACTCAGCCACTTTCTTTGGCAGAGAATTTCAAAGGACCCCCCACTCGCTGGGTGAAGAAATTTCTCCTTCTCTCAGTCCTAAATGACCCAGCCTGTCTTCTCAGACTGTGTGAGAATTTGGGATTGAAGAAACAGAGAATGACTATCAGAGTCAGGCCTATGACCCTGCTATTGATTCACAGGCTGCAATAACAAGAAGGATATGCTTCTGTTACTAGCTCTCAACAGGGGAAAGCATGTTTACTTCCTTCATCTCAAACACCTCCCACTGCACCCAGTGGGATGAACACAATGAGAAACTGGTCAGAAAAACTTGCATTTGTATAATGCCTTTCACGATCATTGACAGGGTCAGGATTGCTTATAGCCAGGATTTCTAACCTACATTGATGGCCACTGCACATGCAGATTAATGTCGTGGTAGGTGGCTCCCAGTTTGGATCTTTGAGTGCCTGATTAATGCAATCGTACCTTGACAGGCCTCACACTACCCACTCCAAAACCAACTTTACTCTGCACAGTCTGTCTGTCCCAGCAGCCATTCTGCATCTTTTATTGTGCCGTTGAGATTTGATGGAAGGCAGAGGGCTTCCTAGCACCGTTCCAACATTCACACTCAAGAGATTCCGTCTGAGATTATAGGTTCAACCCCATGACCGCCAACCCCCAATCTTCATATCCCATATAGTATTGAAGTCCCTGTCAACACTATCAGCTTTGACTTTCCATACCCAACCCTTTTATTTAACTATCAGTGTACCTCATCTTCTCCCTGTGCCCCAGCCTACTGTATAGCCATCAATATTGAGCTGTAAGTATGTCTGAACATGATGTTACACACAATGTGCAGGGCTGGATGAACACAGCAGGCCAAGCAGCATCATAGGAGCAGAGAGGCTGACGTTTCAGGCCTAGACCCTTCATCAGAAAAGGGGGAGGGGAAGGGGGTTTTGAA